GCGGAGGGTGGAGGGCGGAGGGGCGCGCCCACCCACCCCTCGGCCAGGTCACGACGTCCCTGATGGATGGCTTGTCTCTCAGCGGAGAGCGCGAGGAGAAGGAGCTGCGCGCCAAGATGGCCGACGAGGAGGCGCGGCGGGAGGCGGCCCTGGACGAGCGCCAGAAGCTCTGCACGCAGATGGTGTCGGTGCGCACCTCCCTGTACAGCATCATCATCGTCCTCAACCAGGTCAAGCCCACGCAGTCCGTGGCCAAGGCGCAGATGAAGAAGCACGAGTGGGAGCTCGACCAGGAGTTCATCGACGAGCTCTACTACCGCAAGAAGGGGCCCATGTCGGCCCCCGAGGCTAACGGTGAGCTCCCCGGCGGGCGGCGTGTTCGACGGCCAGCACAGCGCGCGCGCCCCTGACACCCCACCTCCACCTCTGCCCCGCAGCCATGGCCATGCTGAAGAACGTGTTCATGAAGGTGGGCGTGCTGCTCAACCAGCTGCAGGCCGAGGGCGCGGAGGTCCCCGACCAGCAGGTGCTCATGACGCGCGCGCTGCTCCCGGACGTGATCGCGGCCAGGCGGCAGCGCGCCGACCAGACCGAGGAGGAGATCGGCGGTGAGCAACCCGCGCGCGACCCCCTTGGCTTCCTCCCCCGCGACCCACTTTTTATGATTTCCCCCACACACCCTTGACACTGATTGTCCCACGCGCCCTGCCCTGCAGTCCTCATGCACTCAGCCGACACGATCGGCGACGCCAAAGTGCCGACTCGAGATTCGATCAAGGTCGAATCGGCCAAAATCATCCGCATGGCGAGGAAGCTCAACGAGGCCGAGTCGTTCAACGACCGAGCCAAGCGCGTCCGGCGCGACGAGAAGTGGGTCTAACGGCCTCCACGTGGGCGGCGGGGGCGGCAAACGGCGAGCAGGTCGCGGCTCTCGTGTTCGAGCTGCTGAAAAAGTTTGGCGTTCTAATCGTAGTGTCTACCCTTTCCGCGAACGCTTTGCTTGCTATCTCCGCGTTTAGGGCGGCACTGGCGCCGTCCTCGCGACGGCTGCTGCAGAGTGCTTTCAGAGAGGCTCATCATCGCCAGATAAGGATCAAATCACAGTAAGACAGTTCGCTGGAAAAAAGGGGGGGGAGAGAAGTGGGTATTTTCAGAACTCACCATTGTCGGGAGGAAGTCCGTTGACTGTCCTTTTCAAACGAAGTGGGGCGATGAAGGCAGCTCGCTCTCGGCTCGCCCCTTTTGACCCTTAGGCCACTCGTTCTCAGTCTGACCAACAGAGGAATGGAAGTGCTTACAAACAGAACCGGCGAGGTTGTGACACCTCCTAATTAAGAAATAAAAATTGCAAAGGAACTTTTTCAGAATTTCTATAGCTAAAACATGACTCCCCCATCCCATGTTCCCTTCGGACTCGTGCCCGTGCCCTCGTCCGAGTGGCCAACGGCAGACGCATCAGTGCGCAAGAGACGGCCCGGCCCTTCTTCTGCCGGAACGACCAATAGTAGAACCCTCTTCAAACTTCAACTTCAAAAAGGGTTATGCATTCATCAAAATCAAACTCGTCAGAGATCTCTGCACTCGTTCATCGTTTTAGACTCACCGTTACGTCGCTTTAACCCCTTTAACCTCTCCCCCGCACGAGCGCGGGCGCGCACACACACACGCACGCGCGCACACGCACGCACGCACGCACGCACGCACACACACACACACACACACACATACTCACTCACTCGCAAACGTAGATAAAGAAAACTTGTTGGCCTTTTTGCTTTGTTTTTTTTTTTTTTCAGCCGACTTAACGCCGCTGACGCAGAAAATCACACTCGTGTTCGGTGAAGTTCGGATCATCCTGAAAAACCGAAAAACGACGCAGATCACGGTGTTCATTGCCGTGTTGACCCGCCCTGCGCAAACAGCTGATCGCTGATACGCCGGGGCGCCGGGCATGCGCACGACCCCCGAGAGCCGACGCTCGTCTGTCTGCCCCGCCGTCTGCTAGTGGGGTGGCATGTTTACTTGGGTATTTGGGCTGTCAACGAGATTACTTGACGCTTAAAGCCCAGTTCTAGCACACTCGCAGACAGGTCAAAGACAGGCCGTGGCCATGCTACTCCGGCGCTTGTACTCCGTGGCCGCTGTGTGCGCCAGCGCGAGTACCAGGCGCGCGGCGGGCCCATCGTCAGTTGTCACCACTCAGTTCTGCTGCTCGTACCGCACCCACGGCAACGCGACTTCGGAGATCATGGCACCAGAAACTTCGTCCATTTTTCGCCTCAGCGACTACGACTGTGTGGGTTTCGACCTGGACAACACTCTTCTCAAGTACAACATCGCTAACATGGTAAAGCTGGAGTACGAGATTCTCGCCCAATTCCTCGTCGACCAGAAAGGTTATGATACCACCTATCTGCGGAAACCATTGGACTTGGATTTCTTGCAGAAAGGTTTGACACTTGATTATGAGAATGGCAATGTACTTCAATTATCCCCAGATGGTACAATCCACCGTGCCTCTCATGGCACCAAGCTGCTAACTGACGCTGAGATTGAAGACCTGTATGGCAAGGAGAAATACTCTCAGTTGACACAAGAGTACACACAGAATATGTTAGATGCTTGGAATGGCCCCATCTCTGAAAAAGTTCGGTCTGTTATGGATCATTTTGACGTACCTGCATCATTGGCGTTTGCAAGATGTGTTGACAATATTGATGCCAATGCTGAAAAAGAAAATATTCCCTCTGGAAAGTACAACCTTTACCAAGACCTCACTGATGCCCTTGTTCATATGTTTCAAAGAGACAACTTTGCTAACAACTCGGGTGGATTCTTCCCTACAATGAAGAAAAACCCAGAGCTATATATGCATCATGCAAGTGAAAATGTTCGAACATGGTTGAAAGAATTAAGAAAGCAGAAGAAAGTTTTTCTAGTTACCGGTTCACATGTGGACTTTGCCTCCTTCACGGCCAAGTACAGTTTTGGTGAAGATTTGAAGGACTTGTTTGATATTGTGGTTACCTTTGCACGCAAGCCTGGGTTTTTCACTGGACGTCGCCCATTTGTTTCATTAGAAAATGGACAGGAAAAAGATCTTGTACAGCCAGAAGACATACATCTTGGAAACATTTACTCTCAAGGAAATTGGCAAGATTTGTATGAACTTTTTAAGAAAGAAACTGGTAAAAAACACCCTAAGTGCTTATATGTTGGAGACAATGTCCTCCAAGACGTCTTTGCTCCTGATGAATATACTAGATGCCACACTGTAGCCATCAGTGAAGAAATGCGAGGTGAGGGAGTTGGAAGCGACAGAACATACCATGATGTACTCGCCTCAAACACATGGGGTTCATATTTCTCACAAAAAGGAAAGAAGCCATCATTGTGGTGTGACTTAATACAAAAACATGCAGCTATCTGTGTGCCAAGTGTGGATGTGCTAGCTGAAAAACCTCTTGACTTTCAATATCAAACATTTAAGTGCGCATCTCCTGACCAATCGCAGCCTGTAGGTTTCTTCCCTAGTGCTCCCAAGTAAATAATAGTAGAATTGAATCTTTTGATGGCCACTTTTCCTGACTTTTATCTTAACGTAACCCACTGCCATTTTTTTTTGCATTTTTTCACTCTAAAGTAATGATGGAAATTCAGATGAAGACTCTAAGATCAAAGTTGCTGCTTTAGTAAATATTAATTAGAAGACTGAAATCTGAGCTATCTTCAATTTT